AATAAACAATGAGATCACCTGTTCAAGCTACGGTGAATGAAACATCGATCACAAAGGGACAAGTTTTATGTTGGGCATTAAAGAAGAAACACGATGGATCAACTTGATTCAAGCCACAAATGGAGGAGTCGAGGAGTTAAACTATGCGACTGCATGCCTTCATATAGAAAAAAATAGTTGAAGTTTTGACATGCATATGCAATGGCATTCATTAGTACTATGCGGTCGTATAGTACAACTCTGGAATACAAATTTTGCAAAATTCGTGCAATCTCCTAGTTTAGTTAAAACTCAATTTTATGGTATCTTTTAGTATTTTTAAACTTTATTTCCATTTCGACTAAGTTTTATGAGTTACCTATAAATAGGACTCATTTTTTTCATTGTAAAGATAAACAATTCGAGAGATATTATTGCAAGGCATATATTGCTTTCTACCATTGAATTAATTTTCAAACTTATCAAGGACTGATTTCTTGTGGCATTCAACAATTCAAGTAAAGTTCGTAAGTTTTGTGATCATGTGGTCAAGATATTGTTTGTAATTGTCTTTGGTTCTTTGGTTTAATAATTTATTGGGTCGAGCTTGTCCAAATGTTGACTTTTGACTTTCTTGGGTTTGATCTAATTGGTCGTAGGTTTTGATAACTACGTAGATTGTTAGGTTTTTCATCCATTTATATTTGCATTTGTATGATAAATTGACGCCTAAATGTACTAAGTACGTTTATATTTTTTAGTTAGGTTGCAAATGGACGAAAACTGTGGAAATTGGAAGAAATAAGCGAAAAATGACTAAAGTGGAAGAAAATGAAAGTCCGGGAATCAAGTTGCAAATAATTCATAGATGAGACAGGTGATTGAATGATGATTTGAGAATGCTAGGGGTCAATTCGGTGTAATTAGAAGTCAAGAAAAGTGAAATATGACTATAATTTCTTCACAAATCAAATTTTAACCGCACAATGATGTTCCCGATTTTCAACTTGAATTGAGATGCATTTTTGACCTAGTAAATGTCCGAAGTGGAAAAAGTCTATTTCTAGCAAAATTGTAGCTGTATATGTTGTATTTCCAATGCACTTTGAATCTTCCCAATCAGCATTGGGAGAAAAAGTTATGATAAAAATACTGAAAACTGTGCAGTGTAATCGAAGCTGACGTAGCGCCCAAACGCTATCCCCTAGCACCTCGGCACCATGTTACTAATTTTTTTTTTTGCAGAAAGCTAGTGAACATTTGTAGCGCCTAGGTGCCGGTTGAGGGAATAAAGAGTTTTCATCTTTTTGGACTATTTTTTCATTCCATTCAACTTGGAACTCTTTGGGGACTTTAAAGGCACGAGAACACAACACAAAAACAACAACTTTTCTGGAGAGGAATCAAGAGAGAACAAGAGGAAAAGATCAAGAAATCCATGGAGAACTAAAGATCTCGATGAAGCTACGATGGAACTCAATTAGAATTGGAAATTTCAACATCATTCTTTCATGTAATTTGATTTTTCATTATTGAACAATTCTTGGGTTTAGATTTTCTTTCCATAAATTGGTTTTAAAATTGGCTTAACTTTTATTAAGTTCTTCATGGATTCTGTCATGCTTTTTCATTGAACAATTCAAATGTTTGCTTGAGTTTCAATTTCAATTAATTTTATTGGTATGATTCAATTGCTGCTTTATGCTTAATATATATTGTCGTTTCTTAAATCTTATTTCAATAAATAAAAGTGGGAATGTGTTTTAGTGAATTTAAACTTTGGAATTACTACTGGTTTCAATGATAAATATTTGTTTAGGAAGTTACGTAGAAAATCTTTAATTGAGTCATAAGAATGAGTTGTTGATGTTGAATGATCAAAACTAATTAAGGGAATTTCGATACTTCACTAATTCGAACTTCGATATTTAAATCTCGTTCCAACCGATAAACAAAGTCTTTTCATACAATTCACGAGAATCCTAATTTGTTGAATCCTTTAAGTAATTCTTCCATCTCCCTGAGGAACCGACACTTGAAAGCTTTACTACAGCTGCCGCCTTATTCTTCGGGCGTAATCAAATTTTAGCATCGCTGCCGGGAAGACGATACAATAAGCTAAGAGATTTTCTAGCAAAAATGATGACTTCGTTCCCTTATCATTTTTTAGTTAATTTATTTTCTTCATTGTTATATTCTTTATTTCTCAAGTAGTTTCATTTTTGTGTTTTGTGAGCAAGAATCAAGACGAGCAAGGAAGATTCACTAAATGACCTCTTCCAGTGTTTGAATCTCTTTCTAACCCTATTTTTGACACTGCATCTATTGGCACTAACACTACACTACACTACACCATGAGTGAAAGTGAGCATGAAGACCTACTTTATAGGACTCTTCAGGATTACCTTCATCCTATACACACATCTACACCACCTTGCATTATGTTTTCACCTAATATGCCACGTATGGACCTTAAACCACGAATGATTCAAATTCTTCCCAATTTTCATGGACTTGAAAATGGAATCTCATACGTGCATATTAGGAAACCTAAGAAGGTGGTTGCAACCTTCCACAATCAATATGGTACAACGGATGCAGTCGGCTTTAAATTTTTCCCATTTTCACTTAAAGAAAGAGCAAAAGGCTAGCTATATTCATTGAGATCACATTCGATTGAGACTTGGACTGAAATGACTCAGGCCTTTTTCAACAAATACTTTTCCCATTATAAGACTAGTGCTTTGAAGAAACAAATTTCTTCATTTGCCCAAAAGGATAGCGAGACCTTACACCGAGCATGAGAAAGATACAAGGAATTGTAAGCCATTTTCCCTCGCCATGGTTATGAGAGTTGGCGTATTGTGAGTTATTTCGATGAAGGACTAATACTTAGGAAGCGCCAATTCATTGAGATGATGTGTAATGGTGATTTCTAGCATAAAGATCCGGATGAGGCTATAGAGTACTTAAATGACCTAGCTGAAAATGCTCATACTTTAACCGGACCTAGAGCCATTGATAGTACTAATAGGTCATGACCCACAGAAAACCCTACTAGCACAGGTATTTATCATATTAAGGAAGAGAATAGTCTTAGAGCAAAAAAAAAAAAGCCCTCACTAGAGAACTTGAAATCCTATGTGCTAAGGACTCGAAGCCCACACAAACTGTTTTCTGTATTGAATCTCCAAGACATTGTTTTGTGTGTGGTGGAATTGATCATCTAACGCAAGAGTGTTCTACTTTAGCTGAGATGAGGGGGTTTGTGATGAATACTGTAATACCTTAAGTATGTACAAAAAGCTTTATGCTCATTTTTCGGAAACCTACAATCCGGGGTGGCGGAATCATCCTAATCTCAACTGAAAATCTGAAAACCAGTAACATGCCCAGCCAAATAGAGCTTACACTACACCTTCATATTAGCCCACATCTTCTAGGAATTGGACCATTAAAATAAAACTCTTTTTCTCAAATTCATTTTTAACCATACATTCTCATAATAAAATATTTTACACGTAAATTAAATTTTTTTCTACATTTTGACCACATATTTTTCAAAAATATTATTTCACTTTTGATTTTCTCTTAAAAAATTCTCTTTAATGAATGTCAAATAGGCGAATCAATTGTATTTAGCTTATTAGCACAAAATGTTCTTACGTTTGGCTTTTAGTGTGCAAAACATCCAAAGTTTCACATTTTTGCACTTTCATCCATGTTTCCACGTTTTATTGTGTAAAACGTCATTTCAATAGATTTTTATCATATTTCTCAATAAAAATATGTGAAATAACGAATATACTATCTTATTTAAATAAAACAAAAAGAAAAATATAGAACTAATTACAATCATACTTCCAAACCTTTTTAAAAAGTGCAAATGACTCTCAAATAAATTATTAAAAAATTCAAAATAAATAAACTCTCTCTCCCCCCCCCAAACCACCACCACCACCACCACCAAACGATTTCCAACAATATACTCCAGCTCAATACTCCAACAATCTAAATTGATACTACAGTATACTCTACAACAATAAATAATTTTCAAAAAATCAAAGTTCCAAAAAATCTCAGGCATTAGAGTTTCAAACCAAACCTATATACCAAACCCGAAGATGGGGTTTGAAGAAGTGGATCCTACCTCTGACCTTCGCTTGCATTGAAGGCTTCAGTGGAGAAAAATTGAGATGAACTTTGGACGGTTGACGTGAGACCTTGGTTTTGATGTGCCAATTGTATTAGACAGATAGATTTAATCGAAGCTCGACTCATTAGATTCATCTTTTCAAATTTTGGATTGTTAATTTAGAAGAGTTAGGGCTCAATTTTCGAGGTAGTAGATTTTGATTGAGAAACTATTTTGATCTAATCGGACCATGATTGAGATCTCCTTCGGGGGTAGATCTTACTAGTTGGTGGCTAATGGCATGAGTGTTGTCGCAAGTAGTGTTGCTGTCTTGGTTTTGATCTGTGGGTGAGGGGTTTTGGGTAGCGATGGGATCGTTTGTGGTGGTGTGTGGCTGGACAGATGGGCAGAATGTGATGGCAGGATGGAGGTGTATTCGTTGGTGAGGTCTAGGCGACAGTGGAGTTGAGTTTGAGGTGGTTGTTTCATTGAGTCACCAATGTTTCGATTTGTATTTTTTTGAGCCAATAGGGAAATTATTGAAGTATATTATTGGAAATTGTTTGGTGGTGGAGGCGGAGGAGGTGGAGGAAGAGAGGGAGAGAAAAAATGATTTTATTTTGATTATGAATTTTTAATAATTTATTTGAGAGTCATTTGCACTTCTTAAAATTTTTTGGGAGTATGATTGCAATTAGTTCTTTATTTTTTTTGTTTTATTTAAATAAGAGAATATTTTCGTCATTTGAAAATGATGTTTTTCACAATGAAACGTAAAAATAGGAATGAAAATGCAAAAATATGAAATGTGAAGATGTTTTGTACACTAAACATCAAACATGGGTACATTTTATGGTAATAAGCCATTGTATTTCATTCTTGGTTTAAAAATATTGGTGGAGGAATGAGATTTGCCAATCGGCCAATAGACAAATCCAAGAAATGCTCTCCCTCAATGCACTCTCTTGGACCTCGACTCCCTCTGCTAAAGCCCTTGGCATAAACCCAAGAAATAGCCATTTATCGCGTGTGCATCGCATCATAAGAGCTTTTTGTTCTTCTCCCAACTCAACTTCAGCCGGAAACCTAGATTCTGATGACTCTCAAGAGCTTTCCTGCCGAGTGAATAATTTTTCCGGCATTAAACTTGAGGAAACCGTGGGATTGGATTCCGGCAAGCTGAGACTGGATTCTTGGATATCTTCACGAATTAGTGGTGTTAGCAGAGCTAGAGTTCAGTCCAGCATTCGCTCGGGCCTCGTATCTGTGAATGGCCGTGTCATCAGTAAGGTGACTTATTTTTCCTCCGTTTTTACTGTTTTGAAGATAAAAATTTGATTCTATTGCTGGGTTTTTTTAAATTAAGGAAAAAATGTTTTTAGAGGGAAGGCTCTAGAATATTACTTGGAGCTGTTCTTCGAGCATTTTAATTTTTTTCTTTAGTCTCGATTGGTTCAAGTTAAATTTCTTTTTTAAAATTTTTGGTATGTTTTCAGGGAAGGGTAAGGTGTTATACTTGAGTATTATAAGATGTGCTTAAGTTGGGTTTCTCTCTTTTAAATTGTTTAAGGTTTTACATTTTGGTTGGGTTTCTGAAGAAAGGTAAAAAATACATGTACGGATGGTGCTTGTCGACCCTGTCTCCTACAGTTGAACGAGGGACCCGTGAATGCTGCAGGTTTAATTAGTGGTAATGAATTCTGTTCTGTAGGTTTCACACGTGGTGAGGGAGGGGGACATGGTGAATTGCACGATAGAGCAGTTGCAGCCTTTGAGGGCTGAAGCAGAAGATATTCCATTGGATATAGTATATGAAGACGACCATCTGCTTGTTGTCAACAAGCCTGCTCACATGGTTAGCCCCCTAAGGTCATTTCTCCTTTCAGTCTAGCCCTTTTAGCCTTCTACTGAATATTCTACATTTTGCTCAGTCAGTTCGATTATATTTAATTTTCTGGTAAAAATAGTTTTAATTTTGAGAAAAACTTTGCAGAATACATGATTGATTATGCATAATGATGGCAGTATTATAATAGTATTCACATGATTGAGATGCAAGATGATCAACTGATTTGCAATGTCCCTGGCATTTATGATTTAGCTGTATACGAGTTGCATGCCAGGAAGTCGCTTGAATATAATTTGTTTCAGGTTGATAGGAGTAGAAGCTAATAGTGTAACAGAATCCTTCAGATTATTCGTGTCCTCACTTGACAATACATAGGATTTTGCATTCAATATGTTTTTATATATCGAGTCAGGTGACAAATGATTAATCGTCATTTTTAAGTCATGTAAAGAGATTTAAATAAATTGATCATTGCAGTTCCTTGAAACTTTAAATGTCATAAGCAATTGTGCAAGCTAAATATTCCATGACAATTCAAATTAACTATGTTGCTATGAAGCTCATTAGCACGAGTTGCCGTTTGCTTGACATGTACACGGAAACAAATTAACAAAGCTTGTTAGGGTTACTTTTGTTGCGTTTTGACACTGGATTTCCAGATGCTTGTACAATTTCTAGTTGGATAGGATATATTTTCATAGACTGAAAAATTTCTCTGCTTCTTAGGCAAGGATACAGTCGAATGCAATAAATGTTTGTCAGTTATGTATAAAGTATGACTAACATTTGCAAAGGCTGTATTACTTCATGATATTTAAATTATTATTATTATTTTTTGTGTTGTTACAATGATTTCTTGACTTGTTTTCGAAGTATCTCAGCATGCTGAATTGTGTGTTTTCATTTACATGGTTTGGTATACATATTCGCAAGTTTTTATTTTTTTTTCTCGAACCCCCATCTATAAAAGAAATAGAATAAAGCTCATGGGAAGACGTGGTCGTAGGAATATACAATAATCTGTTCAGGCGGTTATTGCTTGTACTTAACCTTTGTTGTTGACAGTCTCAAAAGAAGTTTTATCTTGTGGTATAGGTTGTTCATCCTGCACCAGGCAATGCTACTGGTACACTTGTAAATGGCATTCTTCATCATTGTAGGCTTTCTACCGTATCATTTTCCAATCCAGAAGTACTCCATGATGCTGATGATGCTTCAGATGATGAGTTCTGTGCCTTGTCCTCAGACCAAGATTACAATGGAGGTATAAGTTCTGGCCTATATGAGGCATCTGTTCGTCCTGGAATCGTGCATAGATTAGATAAAGGCACCAGTGGGTTGCTTGTGGTTGCGAAGGTGATCCCCACTTTCAATTTGTGAAATTGGTAAATTTCGGTTCATTCTTATATGCTTTCTTTGTGGACAGGATGAAAATTCTCATGCCCATTTAGCTGAACAATTCAAGAAACACACAATAAAGAGAGTCTATGTAAGTGTTACTTGTGGAGTGCCTTCGCCAACATGCGGACGTATTGAAATCCCAATAGGTCGTGATTTGAATAATCGGCTTCGTATGATTGCTGCTCCTGGATTGAATACCCGTCAAAAGGCCCGTTATGCTGCTAGTAGGTGATATAAGATCCTCTATACTTTCCTTCTTTATTATTTCACAAAGATGTTTGAAATTTGCTGTTTCCATGCTTCTAATAATTCCAATTTTATTACGGACACTACTTTTTATTTATTGAAATCTTCTTATTGCCATGAAATAAAATTATGATAATGAGTTTGTAAATCTTAATTGTACAATGACTCTTTTCTTTTGTTGTTTCACGATCATACAACCGAAAGGACATTTCTGTGTCTAATAGAATATACATTTAATCAATAAGGCAGTTTCTTCCTTTAATCTGTGCAGACCAAATTCGAAGCCACTGGTTTTACCAACAATATCTCAAGCACTAGATCTCACCAAGTGCTTCGAAGATAACCCTTTCGGAGCTCCAAATTAGGACATGGATTTTTCAATAGTAGGATTTTTTTGCCCAAGAGAAGGGGGAAAGTATTTAATCCAAGAGCATGCTTGAAAGCCCCAAGGATTGTGCTTGGGTGGATTCTCGGACTTGATTTTGGGTTAATAGGGTAGATTGTATTTGTGCCATAAGCTATAGCTTTTGGGCAAACTGGTGGCAGTACACTACATCAGTTGGTACTAGAGTTGGAGGTCCATGTTTGATACTAGAAGGTTTTCGTGCATGATTCAACGATGTTTTAATGCCTAGTTTTCTGGTGTTTTTAGAAATCAACAAATACTAGAAGGTGATATAAGCGATATTTAATTGGAACCAACGAGGCTTTGATTGCATGCTCATTCGTTTATCGTTTTATGCTTTTGTCTACATCAATTGGTCTTAAAGTTGGATGCTTCAGTGTTCGAGTCGATGATGGAGTATTCTTGTGGTGTGGGTAGATATGCTAGAGCATACTCAAAACATGGGTGGCTGACAGAGTGAGTTTTGAGTGGATTCTTGATTCTGGTTGAAATGGGATGGATTACATTTGTGCCATGAATTATAGCTTTTGGGCAAAGTGGTGGCAATCATTAGTGTCTTTCAAAATTGATGAAGTTATGAGCATTGAGCAGCATCTTGCAACTTGTTGAATTTGATTAGGTCATTGCTTTTTGCTGTCACACTCAATGTACTTGCTTTTCTATTAGCTTCTTGACTTGAAGATCATTCTTTTGGTCTATATAATATTGTTCAACTGATTCTTTTTGTCTTGGAGTTGAATGACGTACTTTTCTGCAAACTCGTGCTATTTTTAGTCAACTTCCTGTTTTCCGCCCTCCTTTTTACCAAGCCTTCTTGCGAATCACATTATTTTGCTGGTTGTTGACATCTTACTGCATAACTATATCAGCACCTCAATTATTTACTAAGTCAGTTGCATGGTAATCAGGTACCAAGTAATTGAAATACTTGCTTGTGGTGGTTGTGCATTGGTGGAATGGAGGCTAGAAACTGGACGCACTCATCAGGTATGGTATTTGGTGGTCATTGTTTGTTAGTAAACCATTCTATTTAATGAATAGAGGTCTCAAAGCTTAGAATTTATGCTGAAAAGCCTCTATAAACCATTTTAACTTGCGTTCTTTAACTATTTAAGCATTTTAAGTGTCCTGCTGAATGTATTTGGTGGTCATTGTTTATTAGTAAACCATTCTATTTAATGAATAGAGGTCTCAAAGCTTAGAATTTATGCTGAAAAGCCTCTATAAACCATTTTAACTTGCGTTCTTTAACTATTTAAGCATTGTAAGTGTCCTGCTGAATGTGTACCATAGACCTTAGTCTGTTGGGTTGCATCTTGAATTCAGTGTCTAGATTCATCCAACTTCTAAGAAGGTTTTCTTCAATATTTTTTTTATGTTGATGTGCACGCAGATGACTTTAGTTACAGTAAGGGAGCCATGCTTGTTAACTTAATTTTTCCAGTGTAGACACGAGAATATTGCTGAACTGGTGAACTTGTGGATAATCTCTTTAATTTAAAGGGAGAACACTTTTGGATTTAACACACAACGTGTTGCAGTTTTCTGCATTATGTTGCCACTACATACATGGTATCTGACGACCTCAATTGCTGTTTTGAATTAGATTCGTGCCCATGCAAAGTATCTTGGTGTGCCACTCTTGGGAGACGAGGTTTATGGAGGAACTAAGAGCATGGCCCTTTCATTGCTTCAGTCAAGGAATCCATCTAGTTTTCGCGGGCTATTTGTGGAACTCGTTGCTAGAATTGAAAGACCTTGCCTCCATGCTTTAAGTCTTGGGTAGGGCTACTCCTGCTACTTTCTGTTTACGCTTGATAGACATTCCACGATACGATATAATTTCAGTGTTTTTTGTTTTCAGGTTTCAACATCCAAACACAGGTGAAAACGTACATTTCTCACAGATACCACCTGCTGATTTTACTGAGATTTTGGGCCAGCTTCGTGATATTCGTGCAGAGAAGGTAACTTGTTCAGTTTCACATCAGTTTTGATTATATTAAGCATATGGATTAGTAAATTCTCCTTAAATCAATAAGTTTTACAAGGATACGAGGCCAGTGAAGGTACGGTCTTACCATCTCTGGTGCTTTGACAAAATGCCAGTGCACATGCCACGTTAGTTTCAAACTTTCATCGTGCATCCAAAGTTGAGAACTACGTTTCAGTTGTAACAATCTTTTCTTAATTAACCTCCTAGTACTCTTCATGCTGATGCGGAATCGAAGATGTAATTTAAGAAAGATTTGTTTATTTAGTTTTAATTAACATGGATTTTGATATTTCGCTATGTTTATGATGTATTAAAGTTCCCTTAAGTTGTTTACACTTTAAAAGGGAAACTAAGGGCTTCAATATTTGCACAGATTATTAGTTATTGGCCAGGCAATTTGGTTTTTATCAAGATATTCCTCGTAATCTAAAGAAAGAATCATTGACTATTGAGTTATACAAATTTTCCTTCTCTCCTTTCTCTTCTCCTATCCTTCTCTATTCCATTCCTTTCTCTTCTTCTATGTCTCTCGCCCGATGTGGACATACTTTTCTTGTCATATGATTTGATCATCTTTATGACAGTTTGTCTACATGTACAGGTCACTTGGCCAACTAGTGTTTTAGAAAATATGGTCTGACTGAGCTCTTGGCAGTGTTATAGAACAATTATTTTTACGGTGCTGGAAAGTTCACCTGAAACACGGTTCTTCATATAGAGAGGAGGTGAAGCACCGAAACACACTGTTTTTTCCTGAGCCAATGACACTGCAATCATGTTTGTGGGGGCGGGATATGCTTTACGTAATGTATGCTTCCGTGTCAGTAAAACAAATAAGTTGCAATCACCATACCTATTTTCATGGTTTTCAGTTTGTGCCATGGCAAGGATTACTGATACGTGGAAGGTCAAATGTACTTTTGAGGAGAAAATGTCATCTGTTTTATGCTGTTTCTGGAACTGAAATTGGTTTCAAGTGAGAACCAAAATTTGATTCTCTATTTGTTGTATCATTTTTTCTGCCCTTGTATTTATATAATTCTTTTTGTTACTATAATAAATAAGCTCACACAGTTCCTTTTTTTTTCCAATTGGTAGATCGACCGTATACTGATATTGATCTTGTGTCCTTCAAATTAGAAAATTGTTAGAAGTGATGTTTGGTCTCACAGGCTCAACACTGTCAAGTATAAACGATGACAATAGTGGTAAAGGGTGTGCCTCAAAATTAGGTTTTGGATTCTTCAAGATTACGTATGAGATTTGAAAAATCAATTGAATCCAAAATTAATGAAATAAAATTTGGGTTTCGATTTTTTTTTTCCTTTTACGTGATTTTTCTTAATTGTAACCTAAATTTTTACCTTTTAGGACTCTATTAAGATTATGGATGTGGCCTATAAATTAAAGGTTCTTTTGTCAATTTTATAGAAATTTTTTTTGCTATTCAGTTGTAATCTCTTCATATTGTCGGGTTTAATAAAATTCATCACTTTTTTGTTTAGTTTCTCTTTTTAACTTTACTTTAATTTTGTTTTTGTGATGTGATCTTAAATATTTCATTATTACCATTAAATTTCAATCTTGTATCGCCTTTGGGATCAACAAGTGTTATCAGAGTACGGGTTGCAGGTTCTTCGTAAATTGGTCGAGATTTTTCAAGGATGAATTCGTTGAAGTATGAAATTTTGTTGTTGGATTGTAATACAAGATTTTCGCTGTAGCAAGTGAAGATGAGAGTTGTGTTGACGTAGATGGATCTTAACGATGCTTTGTTGAGTTTTGAGAGGATGCTAGCAAATTTGTCTATGGAGGAGAAGTAACGGAGGCATCGAAAGGCTCTAGCTCAGATTCATCTTCATTTATCCAATAATATTCTACAGGATATCATGAAGAAGAAGACGACGACTGCTTTGTGGCTTAAGCTAGAGCAATTGTGTATGACAAAGAGTCTAACGAGAAAATCAACTCTAAAGCAGAAATTATATCCCCATCGCATGACAGAAGGAGGGTCACTGCAGGACCATCTTGCTATGTTCAAAGAGATTGTTGCAGATTTGGAGACGTTAGAGGTAAAATATGATGAAGAGGATTTAGCATTGATCCTATTGTGTTCGCTACCCAGTTCTTTTTCGTCGGTTCGTGATACTATATTGTATAGTCGTGCTACGTTAACCATTGAAGATGTATATGACGCCCTGTTCTCAAAGGAGAAGATGAAGCTATTGGTTGGAGATCCTACATCTTAGGGTGGGGATGCTCTGGTTATTCATGGTAATCGACGGAGGGGTAGATCGAAGGTGAGATACAGCAATGTGTGTTGTTATTACTACAAGAGGAAATGACACATTAAGAAAGATTGCGACGAGTTGTAAGGTAAAGGTGATTTACATGCAAATCATGCAGGGCAATCAGATAACTAGACTAACATTGTTGAGAATTTTTCGGATGATAGAGGTGTAATGTTGGCTGTATTTGATGGGGACTCCAAACCTGGGGAGTGGATTCTGCATGTTCGTATTATATGGTCCTAATAGGGCTTTAGTTCAGACATATAAGACGGTGAAGCAATGTGAAATTATCATGTGAAACAACCAATCTTGTCGGGTTGCAGGAATTGGTCGGGTCAGATTAAGGCTACAAGATGGGACAGTAAGGGCACTTGATTAGGTTCGCTATATTCCAAACTTGACAAAGAATCCCATATCGCTGAGTACCTTGGATGCAAAAGGGTATAAATTCTTTGGTGGAGGTGGAGTCTTGAAGGTCCAAAAAGGTGTCCAGGTTGTACTGGAGGGACGGAAAAAGTCTCAGTCATACATCTTGTAGGGGAACGCAAAACCAGTTAGGAGACACCTGGACAAGTTCAGTACCGTGGTGGATATTCAGTTTGGTACAATACCTCTTGTGATGGGCTCTGGGTCGGTTCAGAACATTGCTCAAGGAAACATTAGTGATTTCGCTTTGCCATCAATTTCAACGGTTGCACTGTGTTCAAATGTCAGGGGTGGACTCATAGAGCGTAGGTAAAGTGGTGTTATTGATGTCTTGATGCTTTTGGGATCATTGAAGGTGACAGTTCTGACAAAGGATCTTCTGATCAAGCACTAGGTATGGTTTCTGCTACAGGGTGTACTTCGACCCTGTTTGGTCAATAGTAATTCTTCGGTGAAATTTTGGGAACCCGGAATTTCGATTATGGTGTCTCTTGTGGACGTCGTGCAGAGGATGACGATTTGGTGATTGAGAGTTTTAGGGTATGTTTGAGCCCCATTATTTGGCATTATAATGAGATGAATAGTATTTTTTTTTTTTGAAAAATGAGTGGTTGAAATTTTTTTTATTTACGTGTAATATTATTTTATTGATTATTGTATGGTTAAAAGTAGGAGAGAGAAAAATTTAATTTAATGTAATGAGAAATAATGGGGCTCAAACGGGGGCTTAGTTACTGCATTGAGGAGATTGGCCAATTCATTTCAATGTAGATGGATTTGAAATTTTGGAATTTCATTCGTTGAACTGAAATTTTGAGTCAAGGTGGAGATTGTTAAGGGTGTCTCAAAATTAGGTTTTGGATTCTTCAAAATTATGTATGAGATTTGGAAAATCAATTGAATCCAAAATTAAGGAAATAAAATTTGGGTTTTGAATATTTTTTTTTTACATGATTTTTCTTAATTGTAACATACTTTGTTACCTTTTGGGACTCTATTAGGGTTATAGATGTGACCTATAAATTAAAGGCTCATGTATCAGTTTTATAGAAATTTTTTTGCCGTTCAATTGTAATCTCTCCATATTGTCGGGTTTAATAAAATTCGACGTTCTTCTGCTTAGTTTTTCTTTTTCTATTTTACTTTAATCTTGTTTTCGTGGTGCGATCTTTAATATTTCATTATTGTCATTAAATCTTAATCTTGCATCACCTTTGAGATCAACAAATACTTCATAATAATCTCTTATCCAGGTTCAAATCATAAAGTAAATATTGAGGTTCAATTTAATTTTCCTGTTTGATTTGCTTGGAGATTAACCATTGCATGGCATAATTGCTATCCCGGGTTTCAACTTCTACCCAGAAAATTAAAAAAAAAAAAAAAAAACCATGAAAATCCCCGTAGAAACGAAGTAAACCGAATCAAGTTTCAGAAGAGATGAAACAAGAGAGAGAGAGAGAGAGAGAATTATAAATATAAGAATATCCCATCAAGCCAAATCTAATCCAGCATACATTTTAGCCATTACGTTTCTACGTTCGGACCCTATGAATGACAGAATCAAGTAAAATTAGCTAAAAGATCAAGAAAAAGAAAACGCAGAACTAATGCAGTGTTTGATAGCCATTGGAATTTCATGGAAAATGAAAATTTTCAATTCCATCTTCCACTTCTCCATTGTTTGATAACATTTATTTTCCCTAGAATTCATTTTCTCACTTTGTTGCCACCTCAGCCAAATTCCAATTTTTTGATGAATTTGAATTCTCACCAAAATGGTGAGAATCATTTTAATACAATTTCCATGTAAAACAATGGAAATTATTGTAAAAAAATATTGCAAAATGGAAACAAATTCTAAAAATTATTGTAAAAAAATATTTCCCTTGAATTGACGATTTCCATGTAAAACAAAACCAAACGAACACAAGAAAATATGACTTTCTTGGCTTTTTTTTTTTTTTTGGACAATGGAAATAAATTTTATCCCCATACCAGTAAATTTTATCCATTTAGTTAACAATTTTCATGTAAAACAAAGCCAAACGAACACCAAAAAAAACTTATTTCAAAATTTTCCACGTGAAAAATTATACCAATCAAATACAATAAATTGACAATTCTGAGAAAAATAATTTCTAGACAATTCAATTATCTAAAATTCGCTTTCTTTCTACCCAAATTCCATCTTTGCAATCAAACGGACCCTAAAACTATGCTTAATTTTCTTCGCTATAAACTCTCCTCTATTCTATCAATTAGGTTAATGACTGATGAAGATTTAGATATATTTGTCCACAGAAAACTTTTGTTATTACTGCTGAATAAGCAACCCTTTTTACTGTAACGCTAGTCAGAAAGATGCAGAAGCCTATCAATTTAAATCAGCATATCATCTGTGGATCGTATCTGTATTGCTTGAGAAATCATCCTCCTATTATTTGATTCCTGCAAGAATTTTTTTTGGGAGCCAATTATTAATTAACAACTGTAAGAAGCTCAACGCAACATCTCCACGATGTGTTGGAGTTATCGTAACAGTTACTAGGTAAATGCAATGAGATTGCGCATCCAACTTTTAAAATGTTTTAAAATCACAAGAATAATGCATGATTCCAATGCACCAGATGGGTACTTCAGGTGACATACACGAGGAAAAGAGAGTTGTCTGAGCAATCGAGGCAGGTTCAGCGAACTTATTTTAAACAAAGGCAAAGAAACATTAACAGTTCAGCAAAGAACAAAATAAGGGTCATTTACTGAGTTTTGGGCTTTTTGATCTGGACCACAGGTTTTATTTTGATTTGACACGCTTCTTGATATTTTGGCATTCGAAACTTCTTCAAGGAAGCTACAAGGTATTCCCCAGGCAGCTAAACCTACCTGTCATGATTTTATGGTAAAAAGAAGATAGTTCTGATTATGAAATCCAAGTTGAAAATTATTTGACAGCAATCATTTTACTACCATTGGTGACGAAATTAACTGAAAATTGCTGCAATTTCAAAAGTTGGTTTTGGAAACTTTTCATTAAAATGTAATATTTGATTCATTTTGAAGAACCCCAGGAGACCTTTGTTCCAAGGCATGTTTATTAACTATGCTACCGAGATAAAGAACAATGAGAATATTATATTTACCTAGACTATGAACTTCCTCAGAGGCCTTAAAATTTCTACCTTACATGTATAATAGTCTGTTGTATAGAAACAGCTACATTGGATTCAAATTTCGAGAAAAGAAGTCTTGGGACCAAGACCATAACACGAGGGGAAGAGTAAACATTAGCAATCACCCTCCTATGTAAATATTATGTCATTTGTCTCCTTTTCTCCGTGGGGTGCAGGAGCTAAAGAGAATGCAAAAAAAAAGGAAAGAAGAAAAGACGAACACCAGATGATTAAGCAGGGCTACCTTAAAAATTGTTTAGACACTGTATTCACCCACACGCATCCACTTTGTAGATGACCACTTGTTCCCTCTGATGACAGGGCAACCACCTGGCATCAAAGTGTAAGATGTGACGATTAGGTACTCAAAAGTAAGATACTGTCAAATGACTACAAAGTAGCTACTAGCTCAAACAAACTCAATTTTTTGGTGATAAGACACATTTTTGTTCCAAAATGATATTAAATAGGGACCATATTCTCTTAATTTAAGAAGTGTATTAATATATGACTTCCTACATAACATAACCTTCAACAGGTTACCTACCTTAGCATTTTTTTTAATTGCCCTTATTCATTTACTTTTCCTTTTTTTTTTTTTTTTTTTTGAGTGTGTGCAGGGTGGGGTGGAGGCAATACAAAATAATGAATAGGGGAAAAAAAAACTTACCATGCAAACTTGAAGGATCTAGAGTAGCATCAGGCCGCATGCTCCAGAAAAGCAATGCATCGCCCATTTTTGGTTTCACTGCAAGTCCTCTCTTAGCACATTCTGACATTTCATTCCACCCTGTGACAGAGCTAAAATTTCCCTTAGCAGCAGGAAAGACTGTTTCACCCCCTTCTTCAACATCTGACCTGCACTAGTTGCAAAGGAAAGTAAAGCATAAACAAAACCTTACTGACCTTATTTGTACATGGTTAACAAAGTTTTACCACTTTTAATGTCAACAAAGTCATGAATAGAGTTGAACACTTACAAATACATGAGAATAGTAGCTATGCGTTGACCACCATTTCTAGTGTTGAATTCATCAAGAAAGTAGTCATAGTGAGGCTCATATTTTTGACCAGCTTCATAGTGCAGAACTTGTAGGCCTTCTCCGTGCTCTGTAATTTAAGCCCAAGCTTAGACTGGCAATTCTTAGGATAACAAGAAATAATATAAGCAAGGACAATAAAAGAAAACATTCAGATATCACGTGATCTCTATGCACACTTTCATCAAGGTTGAAGCTGAGGACGAAAAGAATTTTACAATACAAAGCAGTATAACTCCATATCGATGTACTTAAGTCATACCTGCAGGTATGAATGTGTAATCTGCTATTCTTTTTTCAATATCAGTGATGATTTTATCCTGTCCCCTCCTTAAAAACATTCCAGAACTTGTACGAACCCTGCAACATGTTGACACCAATGTCAATAACCAAGCCAAGAATGATACAGGAAGGACAGCAGTTAAAAGAATAAACTTGAATTTCTTAGGAAAAAATCTACTGACATGCAAAAACAAGCAATGAACAGAGTCTGAAGAACAAACCTGCTATCTTTACTCTTGCCTGTCTTGCTGTCAACAACTACCGATTTTGCCATGTGAGGTTTGGCAAGATCTATCAGATGCACGCATTCTTCCTTGGACTGTTAAAAACATGGATTCAATAGTCAGCTACAAGTCAACTTGAAGCTATAACTTATGCAGAGATTGATCTCTTACAAAACTGAAACCAATTACATGTCGCAAATTGTGGTATTACCATTGGACCTTGTATAGTCCATTCTGAAAAGGAGTCCTATATAACTAAAATTACTATGCTATGCTTGACACCATCAAATTACAGATTCAAAACCGGATTTACCAAAGCACTCTGTTCAAAGTAAACTGATATTTTGCTCATTTGCAAAATACAATGCAATACATTTTGAAAGCTATGTTCTTAACTCCACGCCTGCATTTTGCTGTCCTAAAAAGCCATAACAAATAATTCAGCAATCACACAATAATCAGCAGAAAAGCAAATGCATTTTGAATCTGCCATAAATAATTTTCACTACCATATTCCACCAGATATTTAAAAAGCACCCAACCAATAATCAAAGAAATAATATTTCAAAGCAACTTAACCAAAAACTGACCAAGAAATTGTGGTAAATGAAAGCCCTAGGCTCCCACGACAGCATCTCAGTCCACTGCTCTCCTCTTTTTCCCAATCTCTCTCCTCCTCTTCTGCCATATAAAAAAACAAACAAAAAAATCTTTTAATAAAAACTATATAGTGAAATAAAATAATTTAAATTTACAAATCTCTTCTCAAACTTAAAAAGAATGGAACCAAACGGGACGGCACCAGAACCAATGGAGGTGGTCCGGTGCGGTAATTACGATAAAATTACATGTCTAAGTTCAAGCGCTTGAATTTGATGCGACCACCGATACTCGACGACTCATCATCGTAGCCAGCAGGTAGAGAGAGGATTCCGAGAGCCAATAGCATTAGTAAAATAATTGTAACCATTAATAACATAAATAGCACCAACGTCACCGTAGAGGATCTCTTCCCTTGATGCCGATTACTCCTCCCCTTCGCCATTAAATCAAGAAAAAATTCAAAGACAAAACCCTCGAAAAATTCGATTTTAGCTAAAGAAAAATTTGATTCGAATTGCTTCAAGTAGATTTTGTATGTTGCCGATACAACTTAGAAGGAAGATGAGCTGAAATCAAAAGACGGAAGCGTCCTCAATGTGTCAACGTATTCGAGGTGGAAGCTGAGATAATTTTGTCATTTGAATTAACGTCATTTTTATGTTTTATACCTGCTGGGATAATTTTGTCAATCTAATTAATGTTATTTTTATTTTTATATTTTTGGATATAATTTATTACATTTTCTAATTAATCTTGTTTGATTTAAATATAAATTAAATTTTTAGTAAATTTTGGTAAAAGTTGATTAAAAGTATATGATTGAAAAGTTATAAATTCCATAAAATGTGAAATTAATGATTTTAATTTTAATTTTAATTAGCTTTTGTTGTTGAACCAAACATGATATTATTCTTTCATTTTATACTTTTTGGGTATAATTATTAAAAGTTTTTGGGCAGAGGAAAATCATTTCTGAGGAGATTAATTTCTTCGGATTGGATTTTTTTTTATTTTTTTTATCTTTTTTATTTTTTTGGGTAAGCTGGAACTATCCACCAGTTTTTATTCCATTTTTAAAGAATAATGTAATTCTCAGTAGAGTGACTACGAATAATATTACTCTTTTTTAAAGTGTTTTTTTTTTCTATTTCCCCATTAAAATGCGATAATTCATACAATTAATTGAAAGGTAACCGTTTAATTGAAATACTTTCTTTAATAAGAGTAAACCATGTTTAGCATATGTATTCTTCAAAACTTATTTTCTCCCAAACTCAATTTTTAATTACACGTTTTCAATAAAATAATTTTGTACCTTTTTTTTCAATTTTTTTAAACATATATTTTTCAAAAATATCACTTTTCACAATTTATTCTAAACAAATTTTACATCAAAAGGCCCTAAATTGGTTAGAATTACTAGTCCCTTATTACACGTTTCCTGTAGTTTTTGCTTTTTTTGACGCTGAAACAATTTTTCTTAGGTTATTTTTGGCTCTGTTTATAAACGCTCAAATCACTATACTTACAAATTTCGGTCTTATTCATCACCCGTTATCATATATTTATAATTTAAACTGTTGCACCAAGTTTAGTAAATTAAGCCCCTATTTGGTAGCAATTTTTTATCAAAAAAATTAATTTTTTTATTGTTATTTCATTATTTCAACCATTATTTTCAACTTCTTCACTCACATGTGAGAAAGGATCAAAAAATCAATTTTTATAATCACTACCGAACAGATCCAAAATTTATTAATCAAATACCACTACTGTTACTGTTAATATTTATAAAATAAGTAAGTGGCACAAAATATCTATACCTTTCAAGTTTATTGTGAAAAACGTACACGTCTTTCATTTTTTTGACATTTTTGCCCATACATTTCACCTTTCTTTGCGCTGGACATTCTTTTCACCAATTTTTAACATAAAATAATCAATATACCCTCCTATTTAAATTTTTTAAAAAAAAGGAAAAAAATTGCAACTATAGACCCAAACTTTTTAAAAAGTGCAAAATTAATCCAAATAAATTATTAAAATATATATTTAAAAAAAAAAACTCCTTCTCAATCCTCTTCACCGCCCCTTCCTTACGCCTCCTCCACCACCACCATTAACGTTGCCAAAACCACCATCGCTCACACAACATGTTGCGATTAACTCCAAACACTTATGATAGAAATTTGATACAATTACTACTCAAATGAAAGGGGATCTAAACTCGTATGCTTCGAATTATCTCAAAATCAATTGCATGTTTCGTGCAAACTTCTTGAAGACCCATAGTTGTAATAGCTTCACCATGATGAAAGGGTGTTGAATATGGTGGTCCGCGATCGTGCTGTCCACCACATTTGTCAAGATTTCGCTTGAAATCAGTGTGATGACTACGTTCGAAATGTTTGGCTTCAGATGTTGATTGGGTGATCGAGTAGGTGTTTGGGGACCATGGTTTGATATGTCATGATGAGGGTAATCTACCATGGGCTTGGGTTGGGAGTCGTCCGAAAGGGAGCTGCCAGCAATTTTGGTTGTGCGACTGGCAAATTTCGGAAAGAAGTTCCAACCAATTCACCTGGAGTCCGGGCCAACTGTTGGGTGCGTTGTATAGACGACTTCAAATTGGTACTATGGTCCGATGGCAATGGTGGCCAGAATGCGGTGAAAATCATAGCTAA